TATCGTCCCCACTGAGAAAATGGATCACCAATGAATGACGCGTCACACTTCTACAGCTGGTCTTTCTCCGACAACCATCCCGTTTTCAGAAAAAGAAACCTGACCCGTCTCAAAATCAGATCGCTGAGTTCTACTCATCCTCTCCCCACCATAAATCACAATTTCTACCTGAAACAATATGTTCATATGTTTGTTCTGTAATAATGCACGCTGTCATTACTATCTTAAGAGCGATGTCATTTATAGGCGATCAAATATTAATTTGATTACTACAAATATAGTGTTTAAAAGTTCGACCTCTCAACAATTGTTGTGGTCTTGGATGCACACTATTAGGTCTGAAAAGGTCTATTAGTCATTCATGTCAACTATATTAAAAAAAAGAAAAACTACTATACAGGCATATTATATTAAAACAATTCAAAACAACCATATTAAACCACAAAATCAACACAAGAGACATGCGAATAGACTATTTTACAAGGGGAACTACTCTATTATTGTTTTTGAAACATGGCCGTTGCTTGCACTTACTCATTGTTATCTCAAACGGGGTAGTTTAAAGTTTATACCAGGATATTTTTGACTGGTTTGGTCATGGATTGTGATTTGTTGTTCAATTATCTGTTATATTATGTAAAATATGTGATAAATATGGCCAATTGAAAGAAATATTCATTAGTTACCTCCATCGCACATTACTAGCTACGTTGGAATTTACGACGCTAAACTAAGGTTTTACCCTAAAATTTACTAAAACTAAACCAAGTAAAACCTAAACATTAGAATAATTTAGATTTTAGATAGCCAACTAACATTTTTGAAATACACAGAAAAGTTTGTAAAAATTTGGGAACCTGGTGGATGTGCTCTCTAAGTCAAAAGAACAAATATTATAATACAGCAGTCGCGTAGCGAGGTCGGGTGTCATCCGGTGCGGCATTTAATGGTGTCACCCCCAGAGGCGTAGCGATCCTTCCCGGGGACAAACTTTCAAATGTTTGATTTGCACCCCCCCTCAAGTTTTTGATTTGCACCACCCCCCTTCAAACTTTCGATTTGCACCCCCCCCCTCAGATTTTCGATTTGCACCCCCCTCAAACTTTCGATTTGCACACACCCCTCAAGTCTTTCTCTATGTATTTTGCTATTTTTTGCCTTGGTGTCGCCCTCCTAAATGGTGTCACCCGGTGCGGTCCGCACCCCCCACTAGCTACGCCTCTGTAATACAGTACTATACAATGATACGGATTCTACTAAAAAGGATACGACTGGTCAGTTTTGACCACTTAGCAGATTTTTCCCGGATATTGCGAGTTTTTTCTGACTCCATAGGTGTTTTTCTACCACCTAACAAAATATCAAAGAGGGTAGTTCTGAAAAAGTTTTTTTCGTAATATAGCTTATATTAAGAGAATTTAACTCGCGATCATTATATATGAATTCGACACGACTAAAAATATTTGCTTTAAATCACCATCATTACCTCGCGATAACTAAAAATATAATAATCTAAAAATTATTTACTTACATAAAACAAAGAAGGCGCTATATTTCTTGATCATTGATATTGGAGCATGGTTACTCCACACTACCGCCCAAAAATCTCAGGGCGTGCTGTATGAGAACATTTAGTGCATATTAATAAAAGTGATGTGCCAAGGGCTTCACTGGGAGCTCTCGGAACCATCGTGAAAATCAGCCGTACTTGACCATATTTTACAGACGACGGCATGTTTTGTTACCTCTCCTTAGTTTAAAAACCTTATTATATCCATCTAATAGCTTTTCACCGTCTCTAGTATTGTAATTATTCTCGTGGAATAAAGCTCACCAGACTGTTAGTGTGATCGCATCTCGCTAGTTATGTCTCCTTCTGTTATTGAATATAGTATTCTATCGATTAATTTAATTTTGTTGTCTCCCATTAATTTGAAACTGTTTAATTAATATTTAACGATTAACTAAACATCTAATTAAAATAAAAAAAATAAGAAAGATTAAACAAAATCGTTGCATAAGAAGTGGGTTAAAATTGACTTACAAGATTGCCACAAACCCACAACAAACTTCAAACAAACAAACAGACAAACAGACAAATAAGCAAACAAATAAATAGACGTTGCGAACTAAATAAAAACTTGTAAAATCAGAACAGGTACTTTGTTATTATTTTAAGACCAAGCGCCATAATAAAATAAAAACCATTAGCGTCATTCTATTTTTTTGTTACCTCCCTTGATATATTTTATACAACACATCATTTTCATCATACATTTTCTAATTAAAATTAAATAAGGGAAGTTTATCCTTATATCTACGGCTGAAATTAATTACATATTTTACACACACTTTTACACAGCCGACCATAATTATTTTTTTTAAATTTGGAATTTAATTTTCGTGCATTTTTGCCTTGATATTTGGTTTGTAAAGAAAATACTGTAGCTGCGGTATGATTATTTTTATTTTACAGTCAATATACCACGCTCTTCCGCGAACATTGAAGTCCGTTACACAAACTAGTTTAAAATATGGGCAAAACATCAAATTTTAATTACTTCTGTGACTTGTTGCTCACCGTTGCCAAATAGGGGCACGTAACTGTTCGACCGATCCTCCAAAGTGTACTTTGGCGGATGAGGCATGGGATGGGGATCAAACAGGGGGGTCGAACATTGTCATCAAATTATTTATATATTTAAAAAAAGTTATTTGTAATTGTATTTTTTTAACCATCGTCAAGGCCGTGTTCTATTTCCCCCACAATCAAACACAGGTAGTCGCCGGCAAAATTCTTTGGAAAAAAAAATCCATAGCTCAAAAGATGCTAGATATATAGTGGGCATGCATCATGTGGGGTACTTCTTTGCGGCATTGGTTATACAAACATACTTTCCTGTATATATATATATATATATATATATATATATATATATATATATATATATATATATATATATATATATATATATATATATACAGAGAGAGAGAGAGCGAGAGAGAGAGAGAAAGAGAGAAAGAAGGAGAGAGAGATTAGCGTATTAGCGTACCCGCCCCGGTTGTTCGGTTTGAGAGTCGAGGCTAAGACTATATTATAATAGATTTTCACCAATGTGTTACATTTGTATGTTTTGAAGCATGATCTCACTTTTCGATCTTCTAATTGAATACTGTAAAAACAAAGGCTCAGTGCGTCATTCCAGTTGTTTTAAAGAATTTGTTTTTAGAAATTGGATTTTATCTGACAAAACTCAACATGTTTCCAATCGAGTGACCTTGTTCTCTAAAAATGAGTTACGTACATAAACAAAGAAGGCACTATATTTCTTGATCATTGATATTGAAGCGTGTTTACTCCACACTACCGCCAAAACATCCCAGGGCGTGCTGTATGAGAACATTTAGTGCATATTAATCACCCTCCGTAAAAGTGATCTGCCAACATCTTCACTGGGAGCTCTCGGAACCACCGGTTATACAACCACAGGGGCGCCGGGTACAGCCCTTGGCTCCGTTTATTCATTGAATTTCGTGTACCTCCGTGTACTATTTCAGCGCATTTTTAAAACAAATGTAGGCGCCTTAGTGTTTACACGGGAGTCCAGGCTTCCAAATCACAAAACGGCTCGTCTGATTAGATTAGTTGAACTATTATATTAGCCCGTCGTATAAATGCTACATATTATGCTATATATATATATATATATATATATATATATATATATATATATATATATATATATATATATATATATATATATATATATATATATATATATAAATATATATATTTATATATATATATATATATATACATATATATATATATATATATATATATATATATATATATATATATATATATATATATATATATATATATGAAATTTCACATACCTAACTTAAACAGAACTCGCTGCTTCCACGAAAATGGAATAAAATATCCCTTCCGGTTACTGGAAATCGTTCAAAAGTTTACAGAAATTTTCGCATAGATAATAATATATACAGTTGAAATTACGCCCTCCTAACTTAAGATTTGAGAAACCGGAATACAGAAAAACAGAGGGAGAGACGGATTCACGGACGGACGGACAGACGGAAGTACGGACAGACAGACGGACGCACAAACAGACGAACGGACAGACAGTCAGGCGGACCGAAAAACGGACAGACAGATGAACGGACGGACTGACGGATGGAGGGACGGACAGACGGACGGACGGACGGACGGACAGACGGTAGGATGGAAGGATAGACGGTCGGATGAACGGACAGACGGACGGACAGACGGACGTACGGTATGGAGGAAAAGAAAGACGTACGGAAGGACGGATGAACTGAAAGACAGACTAACGGACAGACATATAGAATGGCAGACATTGTTAGAACATATTTCGGCATAGATTAATGAGGCAAAGTAAATCCAAGTCACACAGATGATCGTACACTAAAAAAGATACATGCATATTGTTATTTTTAACCTAAAATATACATAGTAGACTGCATTCTGTTAAAGAATTTAACGAATACAATTTGATCACATTTGAATAGTGTCTCATTGTACACGTGTCAATGCTACTACTTAGTGATCCCCTTAATGGATGTTTAAGAAGGTCATGCAGTTTTTGCTCAACTGACCTACATAAGGGTCAAATGTTTATCTACATCAATTAGTGTAGGGTGACAAAAACTGCAGACTTAACATTAACCAGTTTTGTATCTTTACTTTTTCATAGGGGTAACAGATTTTAAAAAATAAATGTTAAATATTTGATGTAATAATTATGCAATCAGTAAATTAATACAGTTCTAGTCATGCAAGTTTTTGCTATCAGAGTTAGATGAAAACGAAAATTTAACAATAATAATATATTTTCTCATATGATCATCAATTTTTTGCAATCCTAATCACCCCTCTCCAAAAAGATAAACTCTTCCTTAGGTTGACTCGTCTTATTACAAGGACAACAATCAGTATAAAATGAGCTGAAATCTCTCTCAACTTACGCCGCTTGTTGGACTGTTGTAACAAACAGACCACAGTCATGGCTCGTTGCTTGTCGTTTCTGGCTCTAGCACTTTACGTGGTGAGAATATTCTGTTTGAAAATGTGTCATGTATTGACTTCAAAGCTAACAAAGAGACACTTATTTTTGTAACTTAAAAATTTATAGAAGTTTTCGATAACACCTAAAATAATTTTTTTGTTCATGGAATTACGATGTTACCTTTTTTTTTTTACTTTTTTTTACAAACAGATGTATGTAAAAAAAAATACAATTAATAGACTACACAATCATTGGCTGTTAACCATAGATGAAAAGTTGTGTAGATATATTTTAGTGTTTTCAATATTTTCAGCTGAGCTTTAGCGAAGCCGTCCTTGTGCTGCTAACAATAGATGAAAAGTTTTGAAGATATATTTTAGTGTTTTCAATATTTTCAGCTGAGCTTTAGTGAAGCCGTCCTTGTGAGAAAAAGTGTTGACAGTCTGAGCAGTGAGGACATCCTAAACCTCCAGAAATCTCTGAGAGCAGTTGCTGACGACACTTCTGATAAAGGCTATGCTGCGATAGCTGCATATCACGGTTACCCAACTCAGTGTAAACACGGCGACAAAGATGTGGCTTGCTGCATCCACGGTATGGCTGTGTTCCCACAATGGCACAGACTCTACGTGGTGCAGATGGAGCAAGCGCTCAAAGAGAAAGGTAACCTGACTTTCTTATAACTCATTCATAATTCAGTCCCTTTACAATGAAACAAAAAATAGTTTAATTTGCTATTTACACATTTTATTTGGTTCGCAAAGTCCGTTTGTTTGTTGATTTCTGGCAAATATCATAACTTTTCCAGATATCTTTTTCTTCAAGGGCTATGGATAAATATTTATTTTTAAATCTAATTAGAAATTGAATTAATCATTAAAATATAATTAACCTGTTTCGAAACGAAGGGGAGATAACAAGATTAAATGATAACGATCACTCGATAAATTATTACATTCAGTTAAAATAGGGGAGATAACAAGCTTGACGCGATCAGACGATGAGCAGAATTGTGGTTCTCCCACGTACACTGGGCAAACTTTATTCTTATAGATTTCATAATCTCCATTTTGGTTTATAACTATATTCATAAATATAAAGGAATTAACAAGATTAAATGCTAGCAATCGCGCGATTAGCTCGACGTATAGGGTGAACTGTTGTGACTGTTGACTACGAAAAAGAGGCGCACAACTTTCTTTTAGTGATTGCAATATAGTAATCTGGTTTTAAAACAATTATTTTTGTCGAAGCCTATAATTGATGTAGTGTCTACTCCATTTTGAGCGAATTACTGAACAGTGGAAAATTAAAGAAATGTAAAAAAACTTTATAATAACAAGCTTTTAAATGCATTAGAAAAAAAAATAAACAAACACATACTATTTAATAAAAAGGTTTGGTCAAACATTTTTATCGACCAAAGGTTTTATAAAAGAATACGTGTTTGTTTATGTTTTTTTTTTAGTGCGTTTAATTATGATTTTTTTTTAAAATGGTTTTATTTAATGCCATCAATAAAAATGAACTAACAACTCTTTAAAAGTAATACGACTTTGTATTAAATATATAAAAAGTTTAAGATATTTTACTATACATCAGAGAACAATATTAAAAAATGTGTTCCCAAATGTAGACAGATTTAGAATTATAAGATTTCTACCGTGCTAAATTGAAAAATAACCATCTCCATCCACCAGGTCTCAGTATTGGTATTCCATATTGGGACTGGACTAAACCTTTGAGCGCTCTCCCTGACCTCGTCAGTCAGCAAGTGTTCATTGACAGTGATGGCGGCAAAGCCAAGAAGAATGTCTGGTACCAAGGAGATATCACAGTTGATGGCGTTGTTAAACACACCGCCAGAGCTGTTGATGACAGACTTTTCCAGAAGGTCGCTGTTTTACTTTAATTATATCAAGGCTTAAAATAATATTGTTTATCGTTCAAAGAGTCTTTTATAGAATTAATTAGTTACAGACATACATGAAACTGTTTATTCACAGGTTGATGCTGGTGAGCACACCGATCTCTTTGAGCACGTGATAGACGCCCTCCAGTTTTACAACTACTGCCAGTTTGAGGTCCAGTTTGAGGTGGCTCACAACACCATTCACTACCTAGTGGGAGGCCGTAACAAATACTCCATGTCCCACCTCGAGTACACTTCATATGACCCCATCTTTTTCCTACACCACTCAAACGTAGATAGAATTTACGCCATCTACGAAGCACTTCAACAGGAGAGGGGATTTACTCCTGGTAAATTTTTTAAAGATTCGTAATGACAATATTAAAAAAAGTTTTTTTTTTAAAATAGTAAAATAGCGTTATTTGTCATAATTACAAAAATTAAAATTTTAAGAATTTAAAAAAAATCAAAAAGAAATTTACAAGTAACATAAAAAGGAATGTGATTTAGTAATTTGTTAAAACATAAATGTTCAAATATAATAAAATATGAAATGTTAAACTACTGTTGAACATTTTGAACCTGTCCTACTTATTCCACGTCTGTGTGTTATATAATGGAGAATTTAACTTTCCATGTTTAAGTCGTTGTTGAAACGAGAATTAAATACAACATGATAAGTGTTAAATGGAGAACATAGCACTTGTGGCGAACGTTTTGATAAATAAATAAATAAATAAATAAATAAATATATATATATATATATAAATATATATATATATATATATATATATATATATATATATATATATATATATATAATATTGAAAACAGGTTTGATAATTTCAGAAAAATGCGTAACTGACCATGTTGAATAGTTTAACATACACAATGCTCTATTTTTCATCTTTTTATAAAGATTACTAATGACAATTTCTAGTTAAATTAGATATATTTGTATATAATTTTTTTTAGTTTGGAGGTAGTTGCAATATACACCTTACATTTGCTGTTATTGATTCGCCTTATACTGTTTTTTCTATTTTCTGTTTATTTATGTTATATCTTTGTTTGAACTTGTTTTTGTATTATTGTACAATGGTTTTGGCTGACTCTTTGATGTTTGACCTACCACAGGACCAGGATGTAAAGGGAAATGCGAACTATGTGACGTGAAATTATTCAAACAGCCAATGGAACCCTTCTCTAGAGACTCGAATCCATTCGCCATTACTAAAGATCACTCGGTGCCAAAAGAAACGATCGACTTCTCTATCTTCGGCTACAAGTCAGTCTTAAGTCACATTTCACTTTGTTGTCAGTCTAGTTAGATTTCACTTTGTAGTCAGTCAAGTCAAATTTCTGTGTGTTGTTAGTCAAGTCACATTTCTGTTTGTTGTCAGTAGCTGCGGTGTCTTAAGTCACACTTAAACGTGTTGTCTGCCCCTTACATAATTTAAATCATATGTAATAGAAAACATTTAGAAACGAATGAAGTGAAAATGTAATTTTGTACGTTTTATTTCCGCTTTACCTTTACACAAAGAAAAATGCGTATTAACAGATATGAAGATTTATCACTAAACGGCTATGACCTAGCTGGCATCAAGAGGCTGATTAAAGAGAAGTGGTCACATGATCACGTCTACGCTACATTCCGTCTTCATGGTATTGAAACATCAGCTAATGTCCGTGTTGAGGTGAGTACTAAACTTGTTCTTTGAAAATAATTGAATCAAGAGATTGGTACACATCTTAAAATTTGAATTTTTTAAATGTATATATGAGATCATCATTTATTGCTTCTGATCGACGTATAGAGAACATTTGTATGAAGAAATAAATTACAATCTCATGTATTAAAAATGTATAATAGAATAAAACATACAACAAGTAAATGGAAACTTGCTAGGTCGTCTGTTGTGTTGAATAAAATACTAATATTTTCTTAAGAATAATAATAAATATTTTAAAAGAGTATACAAAGCCAATACCAACATGTTATAAAATATATATATATATCAATAGCATTTGCTGAAAAAAGCTTATTTTAAACTTTATTATATAAAATACTAGGGTTTACTGAAAAGCAAGAGCTTATATAACCAAAACTAAATGGATAAGAAAGCTAATTTTGAAATTAGTTAAATAAATTACTAAAGTTTGCTTGAAAGTATTAACTATATTATCCAGGCTAAATAGTGAGAAAGACATTTTATTTGAGACAATATAATGACACTTCTACGTTTATATTTAATTTAATTTATGAATTCTATTTACCTTTTATAATTCTTTAGGTTTGTATTCCTGCTAAAGATGCAATATCTGAACCTAATTGCGAGTTTGCCGGTGACTTCTTCGTACTAGGAGGACCAACTGAGATGCCCTGGGCTTTCTCTAGACCTTACTACTTTGATGTGACCAAGACCGTGGAGAAACTCGGTGTCCCACTTGACAGCAACTACCGCATCAAGGCCCAGCTCTTTAGCGTTAACGGAACCCAATTGTCTTCCAGTCTCCTCCCTAACCCCTATGTGTCTTACAGGCCAGCTAAGGGACGCACTGATCGTAAGTTGCATAAATATCTGCTAGTTTTAAGATAATTTTAGAATAGAGAATTTTAGATTTTAAAAATATTTGCCAAAAGTTTTGAATAATTTGTTACAGCATTTCCAAAAAAATATGTTTATTGCTTTAGGTCTTGTTATAATAGATACCAAGTTTATTATTTATATTCTTGTGTGATTAACCTTTACTCAATATTTACTAAATGTTTAAATATACATTTAAAAGCCGCCATAGCCCACAACGAAGTGAGTAGCGATGACGTAGCTGTACGTAAAGATGTGGACCGTCTTACAAAGGAGGAGGTCTTTGAACTTAGACAAGCCCTCGCTAGATTCCAGGTATAACAAGCATGCTACACAGGTGCACTGAGCAATACATTTATAACAGGAAAAACATAAATGTACAAAGAAAAATGCATAACAAAAATACTTAATGTGTATTTACTTGCTTTTCTGGAGCCCATGAGGCGCACAGGACTGCAGCCATACCTCTTCACAGGGCCTGGTTTCGGGCAGTTTTTTTTAAATTTGAGCCCAAGCTTTCCCAACAGCCCTGCTTTTCCTTCCACTTTCCTTCTCCACGCTCGCTTTTCTCTGGTCACTTTTCAGTTTCGCTGGGGATTCCAGTCGAACACATGCCTGGCGATTTTGTTTTTACGGCATGCCTGATCCAACCCCAATTGCATGCCTAAATGCTAATCGGCTCTTGCTTTGTGTTTTGCCACAGATCTTTGTTTTGAAATTGTGTCTGGCTATCTCGTCTTAAGAATATTTCGTAAATATCTCTTTGTGAACTACTGTAGTCTGATTTAGTCATAGTAGCCCTCGAGATCCCCGAGCCATAAAGTAACACTACCTCAAATTTTGTGTTGAATATTCGTATCTTGCTCTGGTGTGACAAGACTGTCTAATGCCTTACTAGCGTCATGAGTTGAATGCCCATCTGGCCTTGTTTATAACTTCTTATATCCTCGTCTGCTCCCCCATTCCTTTTGATCTCGCTTCCCGAATACATGAATTTAGTTGTCATTCGTATGTCTTCTCGTTTAGCTGTATTGGCATGTCCTGGTTGTTATTCATTCTGTTGACCTCCTGTTTTATGTTTTTATTGATTTTTATTTCTATTATTTAGACTTATTCATATAGTTTATGTAGTTTGGATTGAACATGTTGTTGCCTGGTGGATAGTTGTTAGATGTTATCAGCAAAATCGAGAACCTCCAGCCTTTTTGTGGTTCCGCTTGCTTTCTGTGTCGTTCTCAGTGTTTCTTCCAGACGTTTTTCTCCGGGGGGGCACTTGAAATTTTCGGGGGGGGGGGGGGCGGTAGACTTTCTTCGGGGGGCGGACACTGTTAAAAGTATATATTTTCTATATAAATTATATAAATTTCATTTTGTTCGGGGGAACTCTGGTCGTTCTGCATGATCCAGTCAATTACCATTAAAGAATGTTTGTGGCGAAAGTTGTTTGTTAGTTTTTAATTTGTGGATTTCCTGACAAACAGTCTTTATTTAATTTCTGCATTATAGATATACAAGGTATATCACATGGGGTCATTAGCCTTAAAGATAACATTTTATACACGCTATCAAACGACTTATTTAAAGGCTACAAAAATGTAATGTATAGGGTAGACTGCAATTCAAGTATCGACTGTTGCACTGAGAGAGGTTGTAATATATTTGCGCATATGGCTGGATATTGTTTGAGTGATTCTTGCAGAATGCGGTCTGGACCAGATGATTTGTCATTTTTCTTACTTTTTATAGCACTTATTATTTCTACCTTTGTCAAGGGACAAATACTCACATTTTATATGTGATTCGCAGGTGGTATATCGGGAATAGTTTATGAAAGATGTTGGCTTAGAATCTCCTCAAACTGCTGTACACATCGGTCCACGTCACTTTTTAAGAACTTTTCTTCTTTATCCTTAATATTTTGTTAGGATTAATGTTCTTACCTGAGGGAAGTTTCTGGTTACTTTATAGTCTTTTCATATTTCCTGATCCTGCTGCAGTTTCTGCCCCCGCTGTGATCTCATGGAAGAACTTTCGTTTGTCTTCTTTTGCACTCTTCCTAACCATGATATTTACGTTCCAATATTGTGTTTTATTGTTCTCTTTTATTTTTGTCTTCCTTGCATTGGTTTATCTTCTGTTTTGTTTCCTGTTTTTCTTCTTGGCCTATGTCTCTGGTGTGACACATTCTTTTTGTTCTTCCCCAATGTTTTCAGTACATAGTGAATTCCATACTCCTAGATTCCTAGCCATTTGCTTTTACAAGACAGGAGAGAGCCTCAGACTTGTTTGTTTACTGCATAGTTAAATACCTCTTTTATTTTTGGACTCTTCAAGTATTTTGTGTAGTAATTGAAGTGTGGGTTACAAGCTTGATCCGTAAAGGCTTTAATTTTGTTTTTAATGATGCCACCACTAGTTGGTGATATGACGCTGCGATAGCAGGTCGTCACACATTAACATAAATTAAACTTTCTAAAAATGTAACGTGGTCTATTTATTTGGCTTAACATCGGGTACGTCTTGTGTAAGCTGATTAAGTTCAAAAATGAAATTGATTAAGTTCAAACAATTCATTTTATTGACAGAACGATTCCAGTGTTGACGGTTACCAGGCGACCGCGGAGTTCCATGGTGACCCAGGCAAATGCCCCACACCAACCTCTAAAGTCAGACAGGCCTGCTGTATTCATGGTATGCCAACATTCCCACACTGGCACAGACTCATGGTTGTACAGGTAAATGATGTATTGTGGTGTATTTATTTTGTATTTATTTTGTTATAAAATTATCGGACAATGTTTATTTGTTTTATAAGTGAATTGTGTTTAGTTTTTTAAGTGATATATTAATGCATTAACAATGTATAACAGTAAGTAGAGTTTTAATACAACAGTGGACATTATTTTGTTATTATTTATTGACATAACATTTTTTTCTTGAGGTTGAAGACGCACTCCGTCGCAGAGGTTCTCAAGTTGGAATACCTTACTGGGACTGGACCAAGCCAAAAACCTCTGTACCAGCACTGGCATCTGAAAGCACATACTTAAATTATAAAACGTAAGACATCTTTATTTCAGCTGAGACATACAAATCTATAATATATGTTTGTCTTTAGCTACTTCAAAAATGCAGAGCTATTTTTGCATCCGTGTCGTGTCTAAGATTTAATTTAATGTAAAATTAATTTAATTTAACGTATTAATGCGGATGTCGAGATTATAATGATTGCATGAGTTTGCCTTGTGGCGTAAAAAAGATTATCTTTATTATTGCATAAAACCTAAAAAAGGTTAATATAACAATAATTTAATCGGTGGCTTATGAGATCTTTTCCATAATTTAGCGACTACAGTTTTTAGTCTCTAAAGCTTGTGGTCTCTAAAAGACAGTTACCTGCCCTTACATAGCTCACCCTTGTCGGATCTTTGATTGAGCGTTAACTAATATTTAACTTAAGTCACTTTAAAATTAAATTGTATTGTCTAATTGTAAAATTAGATTAAGAATAATATAGTATGGCATTTAGATTGGAGAATATTTTTTTTGGAACGTTAGAATAGAATCAATGCATATGTTAATCATATGTTCATTACATTTCCAGCAATGAAAACCCACAGAACCCTTTCTATAATGCCGACATCTCTTTCCTTGGAGCTGGTGTCAAGACCGAGCGTGACGTGCAACAGTCATTAAGTGAGGACCCAGAACTAGGAGACCACACTGAGCTCTTTGACGCCTTCCTTTTGGCTCTAGAGCAGGACAACTTCTGTGACTTTGAGGTAAGTAATAAATTTGTTTTTACAAAGAGAGCAGTGCAGTATTCTTATAGCAAATTTGTTTGGTTACATATACCAACTGTTCTACAATACTCCATGAATTATGTTGAACAGATTCAGTTTGAAGTTGCCCACAACTTGATCCACGCCCTTGTTGGTGGCAAAAACCCCCACAGCTTGGCCACACTTTCATACAGCGCATTTGATCCAATTTTCTACCTGCATCACAGCAATGTGGACAGAATATGGGCCATCTGGACAGCTCTTCAGGAGCTGAGGTAAACATTAAAATAAACATGGTGTTTCTCTTTGGAAATGATATATTTGATGTAGTTTTCTTCTTTAAACGGCAACATTAAATGTGTTTTTCAAAGAAAATACGAAATAAAAACATTTAATGTAAATAGACTATCCGCAGATTTAGTTGTCTACAACAAATAAATCATAAGTCTTGCACGCTGACAACAGTGCTGTTATTTAAAACTATTTTTATCCCAGAGGCAAACCTTACAAAGCTCACTGTGCTCAGTCCTACACATACGAGCCATTGAAACCATTCGCCTTCGCCTCTCCATACAACAACAACGAGAAAACATCTAGCCACGCTGTCCCTCGCAATGTGTACGACTACGAGACTGAGCTTAAATACACATACGACCAACTTGAGTTTGGTGGCATGAGTGTACAACAACTTAACGATTACATCAACAACAACCAAAAGACCAAAGACAGAACATTCGCTGGGATACTTCTACATGGAATTAAAAAATCAGGTATTATTTTGAAAGATGCACAAATTATTTCGAGGTAGATATAAAGGATTTAATATCAAGAAAAACATCACTACTTATCATGATTAGCTTCTAATTTTTGCCATTTAACAGTATTTTCTAAATGTTAAATTATCTATTTGCAATGATAGATTTAGTAAGCAACAATTCGTATCATCATTTAACTTCCTAAAAAATAATGAGACAGCAAAATTTTACACATTTCACATAGGATAAGGTATTTTCTTTACCAATGTTAAAAACAGCATGACTTTCAACGTTTAGTATATTGAGAAATTATTTACATATATTCACACTTCCAGAAAAGGAACTATAGCCTACATATATCTTTTACCAATATTCCCACTTCCAGTAATGGCCTACATTTTTGATTTATCCCTTATTCCCACTTCCAACAATGGCCAACATTTACGTTTTACCAATATTCTCACTTTCAGCAATTGCCCACAATTATGTTTTACCATTATTCTCTCTTTCAGCAATGGCCCACATATACGTGACTGCACCAGGCAAAGACAAATATGAAGCTGGTCGCTTTGCTGTGTTGGGTGGACCTTCAGAGATGCCGTGGAGATTTGATCGTCTCTACAGGTAAACTAGGGTCTCGATAAAATTTGTACGTTGTTAAATAAATTTTATGATTAATTAATTAAATAAATCTGGTCTATTTAACAAATGCTTTCGTTTATTGTTGTAAAAATAAACCTAGATCTAGGAATGTCATTTTCTGTTTCCTAAATAACAGACATGCGCAGTTTAAACCTTAATTTAACTCTTCGTTTTATTACTTTAGACACGAAATTACAAACGCACTCAATGAGCTAAACCTCCAATGGAATGACGATTATACCGTGAGTGTTGAGTACGAAGCCATTGACAACACTCCAATTGCTGATAGCGAACTAACTCACATCCAGATCATATACAAAGCAAAAGAAGGTTTGTATTGAATATAACTATCTAGCCAATATATTTTCTCAACAGTGCAACGTGCGACTTTAATTGATTTCATTTTCAGTGCGAAGATTGAAAAAAAATTAATCCTTTGTTGTTTTGTTACTTCTAAATCTGTAGATGTTAAGGATGAAACTCCAGATTCACACAGAGTCCGTAAAAACGTGAATTCTTTAACCCGAGAGGAAGTGTCTGCTTTACGTGAGGCAATGTTGAATCTACAAGGGGATAATAGTGCTGGTGGATATCAGGTAATAAATAATTGTTTTACAATTTATTTCTCTTACTCTACACCACCTTCTCCTCCTCGCGTAGTATTAAAATTTACTAAATCAAATTAAGAGATAATTGAGAATATTACGATGGAAGAGGTCATATCAAATATCAATATATTTTTTAAGAAGAAGACAAAACAAACACAATTGTGTTTCTTAATGTATAGTGAATTGAAAATATAATCAACACCAGCACTACGTTTTTTTTTATCCCAGCTATTTTAAAACTGCATAAACAATAATTAATTAATTGGTGGCCAGTTTACAATAGTATGTTAGGAAAAATGTCACTCCAAGTAAACTGGGTGGTTTTTAAGACAAAAACTATTAGAATTTCTACTATTGTCTGAAAATTCGCTAAATTACATTAAAATATATAATATTTTACAAACTAGCTTTCTGTAGCTGAGCGTAATTGACTTGTGATATTTGCTTCTTCCAGGCAAGTAAAATCCAGAACTTGAACATTCACATATAATTTATTTAACCTTAATTGTAAATTGAATATATAATTATGTATATAGCAAGTACATAATATATAGTTAAATCCAGAGGGAATAATTGCATTTATCGTAATTGCATTTATCTTAAACTATGCTTGTAACAGCTATTCATAGACCTAACTAAAAGGAATAAACAAAATATTCTATGGAGCTCACTGACTCATGTTCTTGCAACTTTTATTCAACATATAAAATATGTGCAGTAAGCATTAGCTACTGACAATGTGGTGCACCTTTCATACCCTATGTATAGTTTAATCTCTTGTCGAAAAAGCAATTAAGATATATCAGTCACCAACGATTTCCTTTATTCAGACATTTTACAGTTATTTAAACTTCATTTAAAAACATGAAATACCATAATTTACTACAAGTTACACTTTTAAATGCAATAACAAACAAATAAAAGAATGATTTTCTTTTACAAGTATCATACTCAAAGGAAGGTTTCTAAATACGTAGTTTCGATACTTTTAAAATACTAACGATATCTTTTGTAAAACCCTCTTTTTAGTTTCCTTAAGTAGTCTACAGTTAAAAGTTAAATATTATACAGAATTTGATATTATTTTCAGGATCTTGGAAGATTCCATGGAACACCCAAATGGTGCCCATCTCCGGACGCAGAAGTTAAAAAATCATGTTGTCTTCACGGAATGCCAACCTTCCCACACTGGCATAGGTTGTTTTCTTTCATTTACTATTAAAATACAACGCTTAACATAATGGCATGAGAAAACCAAATATTTATTGGTTGCAAAGTTTATGAAAACAACTGTTTATTAAAAACTTTCAGACTGTGGACTGTTCAGGCAGAAAATGCACTACGTCGCCATGGCTTGAAAGGTGCTATACCATATTGGGATTGGACTCAGCCTATTGCAGCTCTGCCAGAACTTGTCCAAAGTGAGACATATGAAGACGGCAACGGTAAAAGTGTAAAGAATCCATTCTATAGGTGTGTGTAGCTTCAAGTGCTATTGAATTTAAAAATTTAGGCGACACTTAGTTATTTTTTTTTAACACATATAATCTAGTTTATTGTGTAATGGCTTATCTAGCTGCCAGATGAGACTGTCAATTTGAAATGAGGACTCACATCTTTTAAGTTTTAAAGAACGTTTAATATTTTTGCCAAGATTATAAAATTAAGCCACTAAATGCTGGTAGAGTGTTAAGTGGCATATTACTTCAAAAGAAGTTTTAATGAAGACCGAAGAAAATTATAAATTAAAACATTGGACTTTCGTGTAAAATATACATTTTTGTTGATTGTCGATATATATATATATATATATATATATATATATATTTATATATATATATATATATATATATATATATATATATATATATATATATATACTTTTAAAAAAAATGCAATTAGTAAAGTATAAAAGTAAAAAGGTATTCGTATGTTGTTTTGCAGTGCCCACATAACAGATGTTGATAAAGATACAACCAGATCAGTCAGAGACGATCTCTTCCAGAAACCAGCTTTTGGAGAATACACTGATGTTGCTAAACAGGTCCGACATTAGAGAAAATAAAAGCTTCGTTAGCTCTTATGTAGAATATGGGTGTACATTTTAAAGACTATTGATAGAATAATATTTATAAACTCGATGACTGTTTTTTGGCTTTCAGGTTCTTTTGGCTCTAGAGCAAGAAGATTTCTGTACTTTTGAAGTTCAGTTTGAGATCGCCCACAACTTTATTCACGCTCTTGTGGGAGGTCAAGAACCTTACTCTCTGGCTTCCCTGATGTACACCGCATTTGATCCACTCTTTTATCTGCATCATTCCAACACTGACAGAATCTGGGCTATCTGGCAGGTAAAAAACTCATTTTGTTTTAAGACCAGTAATGGAATTATTCTCGAGGAGCTTGGCTTTATTTAACTTTACTTACATAATATTCGAAAAGCGTGGCATTCATTGATCGATCAATCTGCTAATATGTTGTTGAATTGAAAACAGGCACTCCAAAAATACCGCGGCAAACCATACAACACCGCTAACTGTGCTATTGGACAGCTGAGAAAACCCTTGTCTCCATTTAGTTTGACCTCTGACATCAACCCTGATGCCGACACCCGTGAACATGCCGTTCCTTTCCAGGTAAATTTGACTACACTCGTTTCAAGTTAAAATTGCAGGTTTCTGTATTTTCTAGAAATAGTTTTTCGGCTGATATTTCCAAACTTTAAATATAAAGTCGTGCAAAAATATGAATAAACACAAAATGAAATCTCAAAACCTGTCAATCTTAGGTATTTGACTATCGTAACAACTTCCATTACGAGTACGACAATCTTGAATTTAACGGTCTGAGCATTCCCCAACTTGCCAAACAACTTGAAGAGATCAAAGGCAAAGATCGCGTCTTCGCCGGCTTTATGCTTCATGGACTTAAACAATCAGCTCTGGTTACATTCTCCATCTGCAAGTAAGAAAAAACATATCCTGTGTTGTAAAGCACGTACAAGAATAAAAATGTCCTCGTAGTTAAAGCTGATATATTACCATTGAAAAACTCCAATTGGATGTTTTGTTTTACTTACATGTTATGCAATATTTCAGATCTGAAAATAGCTGCAAGAAAGCTGGTGAGTTTTACATTCTCGGAGATATAAATGAAATGGAATGGAATTACGATCGTCTCTACAAGTATGAGATCACACATCAACTTGAGGAGCAAAACATTCACCACAACGATCGTTATGACATTACTGTTAAAGTTCAGGCCCTAGATGGCAGCGACATTACAGAAACAGCAAATATCCCACCACCAACTGTCCTGTTTGAACTTGGAACGAGTGAGTACACAGTTCTAATTCGAAAGTTTAGATTCTAGTATTTTGTTTTGATTCAACTAAGTTCTAATGTGTATTATCCTTCTACAGGCAACCTGTACGGTAAAGAATACCGTCCATCTGTTACAACTATCTCCAACATCCGTCGTAATCTTAACGACCTCAGTGAGGGAGAAGTTGAGAGTCTGAGGTCAGCCTTCCTGTCCATCCAACAAGATGGAACGTATGGAGACATTGCAGCTTTCCATGGCAAACCTGGACTGTGTGAACATGATGGCCATAAAATTGCATGCTGCGTCCATGGTATGCCAACCTTCCCAGCCTGGCACAGATTGTATGTTGAACAGGTAAACTGTAGCTGTTAACTATTTATACACTGAATTCATTTAAATTTAAAAGTGATTGCATATTTTATCTAGAACTGTGATATTATACTTGCATCTTCATCAGCATCAACATCGTATTTATTTTCATCATTATCATCCTAATAATTCGTGTAGACTCCTAGTGGAGCGTAGGGTAGCAGCCATATTTCTCAATTGTACTCGGATTAGACCATGCCTCCAAGTTGGGACGTCGATATCACGGGTGCTAGTACTTCACTAACATCTGATGTTGTTCAAGTTTGTTTTTGAAGTACCCACTTTCTCTTGCTTGGGGATTTCAATCTAGTCTGATGATATTTCTACACTAGTTGGTTTATGGATTTCTTTGCCAACATATGTGTTGAATTCTAATCGTGTACCTTGCCTTTATGTCCTATTTTCTACCCCATCATTACTTACTACAAATCTCAGATAGGTTAAGCGATCCAAATCCAAGATGGTTTTTTTTGTATCTTAAGTTCGATCTCCTGGTGGTTGTTAAGCCTGCTTTAAGCGATTGTTCACAGTTTACTTAGCTTGAACTAGCTTGCTGCTGCGGATGTGAGAGGAGGCCGAAAAACCAAGGCCCTCTAGGTTTTTGGTTTTACCACATTTCGTTTTTTTCCACCAAAAAGCTTGCTATCCTGTTATAGTGGATAATCATAGAACTGTTGGATAATTTTGACATAAATCCCATAAATGTGCTGAACAGAATTATAATATATTGTTGTATAAATATACTTTAACAAAAAAATTACTTTAGGTAGAAGAAGCTCTTTTGGGTCGAGGATCATCTGTAGCTGTGCCCTACTGGGATTGGACTGCACCATTCAATAAACTGCCCTCTCTTATTAGTCAAGCAACTTATTACAACTCACGCCAACAACGATTCGATCCCAATCCATTCTTTAGTGGAAAAGTAAAGGGAGAAGACGCAGTGACAACAAGGTAGTCATTCAACTTAAGTACATACGCACGTTCTTGAATAAATTTATATATGTTATATCATGTACATTTAGTAAATGAGATAATCTACTAACCTATATCAACAGAGATCCTCAACCAGAGCTGTTTGACAACAGTGAACTTTATGAAGAAGTTCTATTTGCTTTAGAGCAAGATAATTTCTGTGACTTTGAAATCCAATTTGAACTTGTCCACAACGCTCTCCACTCTCTACTCGGTGGCCGTGCACAGTACTCTTTTTCTTCACTGGACTACTCAGCTTTTGACCCGGTCTTCTTCCTGCACCACGCCAACACTGACAGGTACGTTGTTTTGATTGTTTAGCGAATATAACCAAACATTCAATTGCGGTAAGCTCACTAGTTGTAAAATCGTTTAAAAATATTTTCCCTGTAGAATCTGGGCCATCTGGCAAGAGCTCCAACGCTACAGAGGTTTGTTGTACAACGAGGCTGACTGTGCCATCAACCTCATGAGGAAACCACTGCAACCGTTCAGCGATAACTTGTTGAACCACGGTGATTTTACATACAAATACAGGTAGACAAAGACGATTATTGATTATTTTTTGTTGTTGATATAAAAGCGTATTTTAAAATGATGTTTTATGAAAAATCATCAACAGTCGCCCCGCCGATACATTTGACTACCGCAACCACTTCCACTACGAGTACGACAACTTGGAGTTCAACCACATGACCATTCCACAACTGGAGGCTTTGTTGAAGAAACGTAAACAAAATGGCCGTGTATTTGCTGGCTTCTTGCTTCATAACATCGGTCTGTCTGCTGAAGTTGATATCTATGTTTGTGTTCCTGCTGGACCCAGAGGAAAGAAGAGCTGCGACCACAAGGTAAACATTTTAAAAAATGAGTTTGACAAGTATGAAAGTAATTTAATTTTTTTAGACTCTTTCTAGACAGTTATTAATTCGTTTGAAACGTTTGTGTTTTAACTGATGATTTCATTAGACATCAGTTTGAGCAGATTAGGTTAAAATTTCGAAAACCAGTAGTAACCTAAACATTTTATATATCAACTGCAAACTACAGGCCGGATCATTCTACATCCTTGGGGGTGAATTAGAGATGCCTTTTGTATTTGATCGCTTATACAAACACGATATAACCAGTACCATCAAAGCATTGGGCCTGAAGTTGGACAGTGCTGCAAACTTTGAACTCAAGATTGACATTAAGGCAGTTAATGGCAGTCTGTTAAGTGCCGACATTCTACCTACACCCACCATTCAATTTGTTCCTGGAACAAGTAAGTGAATTTCGTCTCACTTTAAGAGTGTTTTATTTAAATTATCCAATCTTCAATTCGTGACAGTTTTGCTAAATTCGTCATTGATCAATGGAAAAATAAATTTCTGTTGGTTTTAAAATTTAGAAACAAAATTCAACATTTTTTTCAACAGGCGAAGTTCAGAAACCATCTGGTGAGGTCTCCAGCTATTTAGTAAGAAAGGAAATCAACTCCCTCAGCCCTCGTGAAACATTTTCTCTGTACAAGGCTATGGAGTCTCTTCAGGCTGATAGCTCTGCTGACGGCTGGCAATCAATTGCAGCATTCCACGCTATCCCACCTCTTTGTCCACATCCAAGTGCAAGCAAGAGGTCAGATAGTCTTTCTGTAATTCAGCTTTAGCCTTATAGGACATTAGTATTTAAGATAGTATTTCAATATTTCATTAATAGTCTTTGTGATAAATTCAGTTATTTAACTCGTTTTACGTTGTTTAGTGACATATATATATATATATATATATATATATATATATATATATATATATATATATATATATATAATTCTCGGGAGGAGTACAAAATATATAAACTATTGTGAAATCAAAAGAAATCTACTTCATGGCACATGCACTCAAAGTAAAAGTCAGTTACAATGATAAAGTAAGGGTGAATAAAAATATGTAAACCTATAAGAAAAAAATCTATACCATGAAAAATACTCGCAAACAAAATGTCTGTTAAAATAATAACTTAATGGAGAATACATTATTTTCAGATACGCTTGCTGTCTTCATGGTATGGCCACATTCCCACAATGGCATCGTCTCTACACTTTCCAAGTTGAGGACGCTCTACGTCGTCATGGTTCTCTTGTTGGTATTCCATACTGGGACTGGTCTCGTCTATCCTCATCCCTGCCACATCTTATTGATGACGAAAGCTACATAGATCCCAATTCCGGTGAAACTGTCGCCAACCCATGGAAGAAAGCCAAGATTGCTTTTGAGAACTCTGAAACTGAAAGAGATGTTGTTGTAAGAATATATTTATCGATCTAGTAAACTATAAACAATAGTACTTGATTAGTTTGCCTTCGGTCGTATTTAAAATATTCACGCGATGTATTCAAATTAATTCAATTTTTACAGAGTGACAAACTCTTCAAACGTGGACCTCACGGATGGGACACATGGCTCTTTAACCAAGCCCTCTTTGCCCTTGAACAAGAAGATTACTGCAACTTTGAGATTCAGTTTGAGATTACCCACAACGCCATCCACTCTTGGCTCGGAGGATCCAAAGAACATTCTCTTGGCCATCTTCACTATGCTTCATACGACCCTGCTTTCTTTGTACATCACTCAAACACTGACAGACTATGGGCTGTTTGGCAAGCTCTACAAAAATACAGAGGTCACGATCCTAATGAAGCCAACTGTGCCCTTGAGCAGATGAAAGTATGATAAGATTTTCGCGTGCTCCACCTACAATACTATTTAAATACGTTGTGTGTAGAGTTAACAGTTTTTTTGTATACAGGTGGGACCACCTAGTAGCTCCTTCATGTTACAGTGTATTTCTAATACTGCATTTCTTCTTTCTTTTTTGTATAGGAGCCACTGAAACCTTTCAGCTTTGGAGCACCCTACAACCTAAATCCAAAGACAGAGGAGTATTCTCGCCCAGAGGATACTTTTAACTATGTTGATCATTTCCAGTATAAGTACGACAGTCTGGAATTTGTCGGCCTCAGTATTCCACAGCTAGATGCTTTTATTAAAGAAAAACAAGAGCACGATCGAGTTTTTGCAGGTATGATCTAAAGATAACAAATAAACGAAACTGCCTGTAAAATAAAAAAAAATTAACCAAATTCTATTAGGATTGTTTTATCAGTTATAAATGGAAAGTTTAATAAAAAAATAATTCATTCAAATTGATGATAATATAAATTTTCAACTGATTGAATTTTATTTTAAATTGCAGGCTTCCTTCTGAAGGGCTTTGGTGAGTCAGGAACTCTAAACTTCAACATCTGTCCAAAAGCTAAGGCATGCTTTGAGGGCGGTTATTTCACAATCCTAGGTGGCTCGGCAGAGATGCCATGGCAGTTTGATAGACTGTTTAAATATGAAATCACTGAACAGGTCAGCTAATTTTAATAGGAGAATTTGGGAAAGTTAAACCAGTTTTAACAAACATTTTAGCATGGCATTAAGTGGATAATTGTTCTTTAAAATAACAGACGCACTTTCTCTTTACAAACGATACATTGGATTTTTTTATCATTACAGCTCGAGGAGCATGGATTACGTTTTGATGACGAATACACATTTGAAATACACATCAAAGCTCCCAATGGTTCTGAGTTAGCCAGCAGTTTAATCAGTGCACCAAGTGTCATCCTGGACCCTGCTCACAGTACGTGTTGGACATTCTAAGATCAATAACGATTTGATTTATCATTTAACATTTGATAGCATTGTGTTTTTTATTTCCCAGCAATTATGTTAGATTTCTCTCTATTTAGAGGTTACCGACTTGGAAAAAGTGACACACAACTACATCCGCCGTGACCTGAACAGTTTAACCGAGCGTGATGTCCAAAGTTTGAAGGCTGCCCTTCGTGACTTACAGCTGGACACAACCAACGATGGCTGGGCCAGTCTTGCCTCAATGCACGGTGCCCCAGCTCGCTGTAAAGATGATGCCGGCAAAGACGTTGCTTGCTGTATTCACGGCATGCCAACCTTCCCCCACTGGCACAGACTTTTCACATTGCAGGTCATTCAAACATTAATCAAACACTGTACACAAATCTTATTTCTCTACTTAGAATTACCAAATATCTTATCTCTTTCCTGTGTAAAATAACGTCAAACCTTCATGACCACCATATAGGTTGAGCAAGCTCTACAGAGACACGGAAGTGCCATTGCTATTCCATATTGGGACTGGACTAAACCAATCAAGGCTTTACCAGAAATTTTCACTGATGAAGATTACTACGATATTTGGAGAGACGAGGTAAGACTGTGATTTAATCTTTCTAAAATGCATGTTGTCTATTTATTACGTATTGATTTGAAAAGATAAAATTCTATGTTAGGTGATAGGGAAAGAAATGAAAGTGACATATTTTCCCTTTATAGGTCGTCCCTAACCCATTTGCTCGCGGCTATGTACCATCTGAGGAAGTTTACACCGTTCGTGACGTCAGACAAGAACTGTTCAAGACATCCAAGGATGGATCTCATTCTGATCTCTTTGATCTTGTTCTCTCAGCACTAGAGCAGACCAACTTCTGTGACTTTGAGGTAAAAAAATAAAGCTAAATAATGTTGATTTTTATTTTTGAAGTTTCAAAAGCCTATACCTCAAGTGCGTTTTCAGTTAGGTAGAATAAATTTCACATATAGGTAGAATATTTAATTCTATGTTTCCGAAAAATGTTAAGTAATTTCAAGTGACCGGAAGTAGTATTTTACCCTATTTCCTATTTCTCAAAATACAAATATGAATTTATTTGTAACTTGATTCCTCTGTCATTCTTTATAAAGGTTTAATATTCCGCACTATTAAATACAGATTATTTGCTGTTTATTTGATGCGTAATTTCTTTTAAAATTTAAATATTTTAAAAATTGTTTTTTTTTAAATGTCTATATCCCGACTGCACTGGAGTTACCGTCCCATTAGTGTTATCTTAGAATATTCAAGAAAAGTTATGGGATATCACTACTCTTTTTTTAGGTTTAATTTCATAACTGTGTTGCTTTACTCAGGCAACGAGCGTCTTCGGCCCCGAGTTCCAAAGTCGGGACATGAGGGTTAAAAAAAATACACATGCTCTTCCCAACAAAACAAACGTTTACACTCACCAAATATGGATGCGTTTTACTTTTTCTATGCCAATGTATTATTCAGGTCCAATATGAAGTAATGCACAACGCCATCCACTACCTAGTCGGAGGTCATCAGAAATATTCCCTGTCATCACTTGAGTATTCAGCCTACGATCCTATCTTCTTCATCCATCACGCCTTTGTTGATAAAATCTGGGTCGTATGGCAAGAACTACAGCAGAGAAGACATCTGCCCAGCAACCGTGCTGATTGTGCACTGAACTACATGAATGAGCCAATGAAACCATTTAACATAGACGGTTTTAATATAAACTCATTCACAAAGTAAGATTAAAGTTATGTGCAAGTTAAATAATTAATTTATTTTTAATTGACTGTTGCTTGTGACAATTAATTTTATGTAATTTATGACACAAAACTATAGAAAACAGTGTTAATACATACAGGAATTTTACTTTCAGGAAACACGCTGTTCCCAATACCGTGTTTAATTACGAACATCTTGGCTATCAATACGACAATCTTGAAATTAGTGGCTACAACATTGAACAAATTGAGGCCCTTATTGCTCAACGTCAGAGCCGTCCAAGAGTATTTGCAGGTTTCCTTCTGAAGGGAGTGAAGACTTCAGGATCAGTGGTCCTACAGATCTGTACGGTAGGTTATTTTAAAACCAAAGTTATACTTTATTTAAATTTAATGAAGAAGTAACAAATTATTAGATCATTAGAAAATAAAGATATTTCTACAGCCAATTACAACACTGATCTAAAACGGGATTTTCTATCCACAGGCAGCACAACAGTGCTCATATGCTGGACGCTTTAACCTCCTAGGTGGACCAACTGAGATGGAGTGGGCATTCGACCGTCTGTACAAGAAAGATATTACATGGGCTCTTGAAGAGGCTGGAATAGCACCAGAATCTGTTTTGGATGCCACAAATGCTTTCACGCTGAAAGTTAAAGTTTATGATGTCGAAGGAGTTGCATTGAATGTAAAGAGCGTATTCCCAACGCCTAGCCTTATCTTTGATCCTGCTCATGGTTAGTCATTTTATAGAAATTCTAGTAGTTGCTGTTAAACAAATACGGTCGATTTAATTATTGTGAAACGCAAATGCTGTAGTATAAAATTTCCTAAGTAATACAGTACCTTTGTTTTCAATTATGCATTGATTTGTTCATTCTAAAGCGGCAGCAGCAAAGGAAGAGTCAGCATCAGTTGCTGGAGTTGGTGTACGTAAAGACGTCTCCACACTTTCAGTCACAGAAATTGAAAACCTTCGCAATGCTCTTAGAAAGGTTCAGGAAGACGATGGGCCGAATGGATTCCAAGTAACAAATTTATTTGTTTAAAAGTTTTAGATACGCTATAGATATTATTTACAGTTTAAGAAAAAAAGATATTTAGTTCCATTACATTACTTTTGAAATCATTTCTTAGAATATTGCCAGCTTCCACGGAAGCCCAGCCAAGTGCGAACATAATGGACATTCTATTGCTTGCTGTCTCCATGGAATGGCCAACTTCCCTCAATGGCACAGACTCTACGTTAAACAATGGGAAGATGCTCTAACTGCTCAGGTGAGATAACAAATAAACAAGCTGAAACAAAAAAAAATTAATACCTACTCCTTAAAATCCTTTATCAAATTTTCGTCACAAAACGATTTTGTATTTTTATATATTCAGGGAGCAAAGATTGGTATTCCATACTGGGACTGGACCACTGCCTTTACTGCTCTTCCAACCCTTGTGACAGAAGAAGAAAATAATCCTTTCCATCATGGTAAAATCTACAATGGAGAAATTACAACAAGAGCACCCAGAGAACAACTTTTCAATGACCCTGAATTTGGATCTGAATCTTTCTTCTATAGACAAACACTTCTAGCCTTTGAGCAAACTGATTATTGCGATTTTGAGGTATTTAAACATCGATATAGATTTGCTTTGGTAATTGATTTTTCTACACAAACTGTAACCTTATATACACTATAATGTTGCTTAAAGGTCCAATTTGAGATCAACCATAACGCCATTCACTCCTGGACTGGAGGTGTCTCCCCTTACGGCATGTCTACACTTGAGTACACTGCCTATGATCCTCTCTTCCTGCTCCATCACTCAAACGTTGACAGGCAATTCGCTATCTGGCAAGCTCTCCAGAAGTTCAGAGGACTTCCTTACAACAGCGCCAACTGTGCCATCCAACACTTGCGTCAGCCAATGAAACCATTCAGTGAGGAATCAAATATTAACCCAACTACTCGTGCCAACTCTCGCGGTATTGATGCGTTTGATTACGATAGGTAAGTTTTTTTATATAGAATTAGATAAAATTTAGACAAATAATAACGTAGGAATACTATTCTTACAAAGAATAATGAAAATAATAAAAGAAAATTTGTTTGCATATTGGTACCAATGCTTTCAATTAGGATAGTTAAGTGCTGTATGTGATATTCAAGTATAATTAACACGTATATCGAGCACCGTTATTGATTAAGAGATAATGTGATAAGATTACTTCTTAATTTAAGTTTTCTTTCAAAACTTGTTTAAAAAGTATAATTCAATTATTCTTTGTGAAACATAATTAAATTTGAATATCGTTATCTGAGTGAGTATTTTACTTAAATAGACTGAACTACCAATACGACAACCTGAACTTCCATGGACTGACCATCTCCGAGCTTAACGACGTTCTCGAGAGACGCAAGGAAGAAGATCGCATCTTTGCTGAGTTCCTTCTACGTGGATTTGCCTTGAGTGCTGATGTCACATTCAGACTGGTTGACGATAAGGGTCACAGTGAATTCGCTGGTAGTTATTGGCAGTTTAAAACCGATTCTCTCTTTTTTATTACTTAGAATTGAAATGAAGCACAATATTCCCATTATTACAAATTGATAGTTCCGTTAATTGTACGTTTTGTTACACTTCTAACTAGGTACTTTTGCTGTTCTGGGTGGGCCACTTGAAATGCCATGGGCTTTTGACAGACTTTTTAAATATGACGTCACCAATGTGTTCAACAATCTGAACCTCAGACCAGATTCAAACTACCACTTTGAGGTTGAGATTAAAGCAATTAACGGCACCATCTTAGACTCCAATCTAATTAGGTCCCCAAGTGTACAGTTTGTTCCCGGCACAAAGAGTAAGTTTAATTTATAAAATAAACGTTTGTTCTACTAGGTCTACATAAAGTTAAGGATGACAAAGATTGAGTGCATTTACCAACGTAATTTTTCAATTCCAGAATTCTACGAAAAGATTGCCGAGAAAACCGCCAAGCGCGACGACAAGCTGGTCAGAAAGAACATTAACCAACTAACACTTGATGAAGCCGCTAACCTGAGAAACGCCTTGAACAAATTCCAACAAGACCAGAGCGATGAAGGCTACGAAGCCACTGCCGGATTCCATGGTGCTCCATTCAAATGTCCAGCCGATGGTGACGACAAATTCGCTTGCTGTGTGCACGGTATGTCAGCTGAAATACACCAATCTTTACTTGATTACACGGAACCAATTACAAAAAAGAAACTGGTATATTTTCATGTTCTTCTTCCCTAGGTATGCCTGTCTTCCCCCACTGGCACAGGTTGTTCACTGTTCAAGTGGAACAGAGTCTGAAGAAAAATGGCGCCCTTGTTGGTGTTCCATACTGGGACTGGACTGCTCCAGTACAATCTCTTCCATCTCTCTTTGGAGACAGCTCTGACTTTAACCCATTCTATTCCTTCCAAATCGCCTCTGCTAATCACGTAAGTCAAAATGCTTGCTAAAGTGTTTCCTCAAAATAGTAAATACATAATACGTATCAGTTATCTCATTAATCCTCTAATATTGATATATTTCTAATCACTTGTGAACTTCTAAAATTTAGAAGACTACCCGTGACGTCCAGCAAGACCTCTACTCTAACCGTAAAGTCAATGGCTACCATTACCTATTCTACCTGGCACTAAACACCCTCGAGGAAGACAACTACTGCGACTTTGAAGTCCAATTTGAAGTTCTTCACAACGAGATCCACGCTACCATTGGTGGTAGTGGTCAGTACTCAATGGCCACATTGGACTACTCAGCCTTTGATCCATTCTTCATGATCCACCACTCTAGCATTGACAGAATCTGGGTTATCTGGCAGGTAATACGACTTTTCTGTATATTACCTTTGGTTGTATTTATTATTTTCTACTATAATAAAGAAACATATTGGCCCGAGCCAACAATTATAATTATAGTCTTTTGTCTTTTGAAACTCAGGAACTCCAAAAACTCCGTCGCAAGCCATTCAACTCTGCCCGCTGTGCTGGACACATCATGGAGAGACCTCTACAGCCTTTCAGCTACCCAGAGGTCAACCACAACGAGTTTACTCGCCTCAACTCTGTACCTAATCTTGTTTTTGATTCAGAGAGATTCGGGTACCAGGTACGAATATTAATTGTTTCCAAAAATTAAAATAATAAAATAATACACGCTAATAAAAGCAAGATTTACAGAAAAAATAAACATCGCTTTCCAGTACGACAACCTTGAACTTAACGGCAAGAACGTTCAAGAGATCCATGAGATCATCAACAAGCTAAACCAGCAGGATCGTGTGTTTATTGGTTTCGTTATTGGTGGCTTACAACAGAGTCTAACTCTTGACGTAAGTTACGTTGAATAATTCAGTATAATGTTACAATTTACAATATATACACACACACACCTTATATATATATATATATATATATATATATATATATATATATATATATATATATATAGTTATACATATACATGAATGTAGTTATTTTTGTGAGTGTGCTTGTGCGAGTCTGAATTCGCCAGGCTTAACATAAATATAATAAAAAATAAATACATTCGACACCACACCACAGTGAGAATTTATATTTAGGTACAGAATTTTTAAATAAGTAAGAAACTTTACATATAGTACACAAAAATACATATGACACCGTATTGAGAATTAATATTTAATTACAGAAATTCTGAATTAGTAAGAAAAAATAAATAAAAAATGAATCAGTCACTTTTTTTTTAATTTCATAAGTGTGCGGCAAAGATTGTCTACGATATTGTCTGCGATAAATTATGAATTTTTAATACTTATTTTGTTTTGAATTCGTTTACAGGGGAGTTAATTTTTTTAAAATTTTTAATAAGTTTTCAATTCGGAAATATTATTGTAGGCATTATAAAGCGAATAGATCTGTTCCACACGCACATAAAAGTATATACCGTAATGCATATATTACTCTGTCCGCTTGTTTATCTATATGGCAAAATATCAAGAGAATCTACTCAGTGGCGGAACTTGAAAAAAATGGCCACGCCGCAAAGAAAAATTCTGGGCCCCATATATATATATATATATATATATATATATATATATATATATATATATATATATATATATATATATATATATATATATATATATATATATATATATATATATATATATATATATATATATATATATACATATATATATATATACATATATATACATATATATATATATATATATATATATATATATATATATATATACATATATATATATATATATATATATATATATATAATGGATTGTGGGCCCCTAACCAACGCTATAAAGAAGCAAAAATTCTCTTAATATCTAGCGGCGTCTTTTCGGTAGAATTTTGCCGACAACAGCGTGTGTTTGATTGTAGAAGAAAGAGGACTTAGCTTTCACAATAAAACAAAGGGAAAAAGAATATGCAAGAGATGTGGGATGGTATCTATAGAATAAAGAAATCCAACCGCAGCTACGGTTTTTTTTTACAAAACATTCATCAAGTCAAAAATGCAAGAAAATTAATTTTATTTTACTATAAAAAATGTATTATAGTCGGCTGTGGGCCCTTAAATGGCGTGGGTCTGGCGGCACTGTAGTTCCGCCCCTGAATCTACTCCGTGTCGAATTTAGAAAGGTTTTAGTTTTTAAGGGGATATGCTATGTTTTTTTCTATTTTTTACAGTTTAAGATCTAAAGCCTTTTGAATACTTTTATCATATTTGGCATATAAAAGTAAGTATTAAACAGCAAAAAAAGGGGTCGAAAACAATTTTGGTTGTCATGGAAACCCAAAAAACCTCCGCCATTTTGAATTTTTAAAAATACTAAGGCTTTTTTATTTATGCACCTATAGCAATCAAATTTAAACTGCTTATATTTCAGTATATATTAAAACTTTTGTCACGACAACTTTTTGAAATAATTACTAGTAAGAATTTTACAAGGTCTAAAAAATCGTACCCTTTTTAGTATTCAAAAGTTTCAAAATGTGCATATTAATTACCAAATACTTTTTTTCTATGAAAGCAATCACAATTCCCTCGTGACAAAAGTTGTATTTTTGCATCAAGAACATTTACTGAAAATAAGGTTGGCATTGTTTAATAAATAAAAAAGTAGTAGGCTTTTTAGTGTTAAAAATCTGCGAACTGAGAAAAACAGCCAAAAGTAACGAAAACTAGGTCAGGAAAGTACCATATCTGTGTAAACTGCAGAGCCGATTGTAAGCTTTGGGTGTTTCGGAGATGCAGGAAATTAAGTTTATTAGATACAAGAGAAATCAAGCTTTCCAATGATGTCAAATACAATATAATGACGGATATAAAACTTTTCATAGAGAGCTTGTAAGATTGGGAAAAATTGATTAATTTTTAATTAATAGGGTCATAAAAATCGTAATTCAAACACATAAAATATTTTTTTCTCTTTAAAGTTATTTTTTTCTTTATTCGAAAATGGACAAAGTATCCAAAAGTGCAAGAAACCCATCATGACCAAAAACAAGAAATTTTGTGATTTTTTTCCGCGCATATCCCCTTAAATAGGTAATCCATTTTTTTTTACCTTTTAAACTAAATATTATTTTTTACATACCATTGAGTAAGTAGATTATTCCTAAACTGAATAGCATTTTTCAAGTACTATACTTATTGTAGATGTGCTGATCTCGAATAACAGATAAACATACCGCAACTATAAGTACTAGAAAATAAATATCAGCTTAGTAGTCAAGCAATAATAAAAAAAATGGTAAAAATCATTATTTATAAAAAAATATATACTATTTGTAGAGCATGTGGAGTCAACAGCATATTCGTTTCTTATGATTACATATTAAACTGTATTATTCTATGCTAGTAAAACTTTGAAGTTGATGAAGAAAATCAGATGGTCTTGAAAATATTCTTCTATAAAGAGAAGATGTACATATCTTTGTGCAGACTATGATGCGAATAAAGATAGGCACCATAGTCCTTAAGAATTTCCAAACGAAAAATATATTCTGGGAATGACATTATTATAACTACGTTTAAAAATTGTTTTCCTTTTATCTTTTATTGTTCTTAAGAAATCTTAATACTAAACAAGTATGTTGTTATAGAGCTTAAAACAAATTTATGTTAAAATAATATTAAAATTTATGCTTAAAAAATATTTAAACCCAACTTATTTATAAGGACATATTTTTATTATGTAATTAATTAACCTAAGGATTAGAATATTATATATATATATATATATATATATATATATATATATATATATATATATATATATATATATATATATACATATATATATATATATAACATTTCACATGTTTCTGTTAGATTTCCCTGCTCCTCAATGATAGCCACGTAGCTGCAGCTGGTGCAGTTCATGTGCTGGGTGGGGAGAAGGAAATGCCTTGGGCATATGAAAGATTGATGAAGATAGACATTACTGAAACTGTTAAAGCTTCAAGTATTGATGTTAGCCATGCCGTTAAAGTAAGTTTAACTATTGTATGATTATAATAATAATAACTACACTTCAGACATTTGACAAAGTTAATTAAATTAAATTTGTTTTCAGGCAAGATTTACATTTACTGACTACACGGGCAGTAAAATAAAAGAAGCTGAAGATTATGCCATTTTCGTTGAAAGACATGCCAACACAGATTATGATGTTGTGAACATTCCAATAGGCAGAGAACAACCACTGCCACCCAAGGTAAGCTGTAGAGAATGTTAACGCAAGTCAGAATAATCTTTAGACGTCAATGTAAACGTCAGTAGACCTATATTGTTGCCTTGGTTAAGATTATAGAGCATCGTCTAAAATTACCATGTCTAGAATGGAAGAACGTAACGGTAAAGTCGCATCTCTATTTGTGAATAATCAACTCTATTCCTTATTTAACATCTTATAAAGCAGTTTATCGTGGATAAAACTCATTCCTTCCATCTCCTTTATAGATTTCTTTAAAGAAAGGCACCCGTGTGAGGTTTATCCCAGTCTCTGATAGCTTTACCAAACCCATGGAAGACCTCGGCAGCTACACCAGCTACAACAGGTGCGCTGTGCCACCATTCTCCTACCAAAGCTACGCTCTCAACACAGTCCACAGCCTGGAACCAGGTGAACACTTCTTCGTCGCAGCTGACAAGGCTTTGTGTGCGGAGGGCAAGAGAGTTATCATTGCAGTTGAAGATGAATAAGGTGAGTCGTTATGTATATACTTTTCTTATATATACACTTAACGGATTTAGAATAGTATATAGTTAGTAAAGTATGATGCTGACGCTCATACACGGGATCAAACTGTATCAAGTTATTTAATGTGTGAATTTGAAGAAAAAACAATGCACTAATAGATTTTTGAAAAGTACTTTAAAATATTCATTTTTAAACATATTTCAGTTCAGTCAACAAGAAGAATTATCATTGCAGTTGAAGATGAATAAGGTGAGTCGTTATGTATATACTTTTCTTATATATACACTTAACGGATTTAGAATAGTATATAGTTAGTAAAGTATGATGCTGACGCTCATACACGGGATCAAACTGTATCAAGTTATTTAATGTGTGAATTTGAAGAAAAAACAATGCACTAATAGATTTTTGAAAAGTACTTTAAAATATTCATTTTTAAACATATTTCAGTTCAGTCAACAAGAAGAATGAATGGCACTTGAAAATTGTATTCATGGACGTATGTTTTATGTAAAATAAAATGTTATTTGTTAGTGACAAATTTGATACATTTTTACATTTGGCTCAGTACATCATATGATCTTAAGGTGAGATTAGATGAGAATCTCGAATTTATCTTTTTAACGTACAATTTCTGTTAAGTGCCCGCAATAAATCAATGCAATATTTCTATGCTGTATTTTGTTTTCTTTTTAAGAGATTAATAATATACATTAACACTGCGTTTTTTGTGTTTTGAAATGTAGAATCTGTTTGCCAAAAATATATAGCTTTTTGAATGAACTGTTGAAGATTTGCGTATGTACAGATAGAAACAGTTCCTAATAATAGTAGGCCTACCTTTGACCATTTATATTACCTCTTAAAGTAATAGACAATTTAATCAGGTGATACTAATGAATGTGATACTAATAAATGCGAATCGTTGAATACATACCTAGTCATTTCAATACCATTTTTTTCACGGAAAGATAATTGTGTTATATACAAGTTTACATTATTTCTTATATCAATTAAGGTTTCAATGTTTTGAATAAATTAGCAATAAAATAAGTAGGAAGTACTAAATTTATACACGTTGGAAAGTTGTATCAAATATTCTATGTCAAATTCATTATGTCTCAGACAGCTAGTAAATATTTGATAAATATATAGTAGAGCGAGAAAAAAAAATAACGATTTATTTTTAATTTTGACAAGCAGTTTTAAGGAAGTAGTTGACATTTACGTTGTTTTACTCATTGTGTTAAGGACCAGCAATGATTTGTGTTATCAAATTGATCATGTAACGCTTAAAATTCGCTGCATATTTTGCTATTTAAATAATGAGGTTGAATTAGAATAAAGGGGGAGTGATCTCCCCTAAACTTTCTCAAATATTCTTATATAACGCTACTCGGGATGGCAACTCGGGAGATAGACATGATTTTAATCCATTTTTAATTACTTAGACTTGATAGAAGAGAATCTGGTAGAAAAAAAGAATTACGCATCAAGTGAACGCCAAACAACATCTGTATAATAGTGCGGAATATTTGCTTTATGAATTCATATTCGTTTTTTGAGTCATCGGAAACAGCGTAAATTACTACTTCCGGTCAATAGAAATTACTCAAAAATTGGCATAAGGCAGAGAATTATATTTTTTTTTACTTATAGATGAAATTTCGTTCATATATCTTAAATCTTCTCAAGTTATAGGCTTTAGAAAAATTGAAAGTAGAACTACTTCCACTTCCGATTACCGGAAATCGCTGAAAAGCTGATACAGAACTACAAATTTAATATAATACTTATATATGAAATTTTATCGACCTAGCTGTAACGGAAATCAGACATGCACCCACACAGAGACGGACAGAATTGCAAAACCCCTTTTTTCCGACTCGATTACGCATAAAACACCAACAGTTTGATAAATACGGATTTATAATGTTTGCCCGATTAAAATAACTCCACTATTCTCCGTATATAATGAAGTACTGAGGTGTAAAGCGGTTAAAACTCAAAATTTATTGTGATTTTTGTACACGAATACAATATTTCCTCTATACTCTGTATACGAGAAAGTAAACATCGAGCTCTACAAAAGTAGGTACATGGACGTTAATTTAAGGCACTGCCTGCAGCACATTGATTTACTTACATTGAAAATTGTGTAGAGAGTTGTTTTAAGTTTCACGCCTGAAAATGACATGAAATTAACCGTGTCTAGCTACTGGCTAAACTGATGCCAGAACGCATCTTCGTAAATCTATATCGTGTTGTCATCTGCCTTACTATGTGGTCTCTCGAGACTAATGTTTACGACGGAAGAAAAAAAACAAGAAATGGTAAGCAGAACATGTGCAGGGTATGAAAGAATAAAAACATGAAAAACAACAATCACAACTAGAAACGGACCACATAAAAAGACACAACAAAAGGCAGAATTAGAAGAAACACATAAAATGAAGCAAAACTATGCCAACTTCGAGCAGAAACCCGTGAAAAAATCACCTCGATACAAAGCAGAGAAACAAATATAAACATAAGAAGAAATAGCTAGACTTAGAGGAGAAACAACACAACTGAAAGAAAAACTTGACCTAAAAAGAAAAGAGAAAAATATACACAAAGCAAAATTTGAATAAGTCCAAAGAGAACCAATAACACAAGAAAATCTGGCAATGCAAAGTTTAGATGCAGTATAGGCAAATATAGAGAAAATCATCACAGAAACTCTGCCAGCAGAAACAAAAAATGCAACTTATTATTGCACAATGTATAACTTAGATTAAGACTACCTCTGTATGTAAACAAACTGCACTACAAACAGAACTGCACCACAATCAGTTCAAGAACATAGTACAACCAAACACCTCAAGCAAGAACAATTTTACAATGTGAGGTTTTATTATAGCAACACTTCAGGTCACACACAGATGAATTGCACTCATATACACTATGGTAGACGCCATCAGAATACTCAACAGAATAGTTTTTTTAGTGAATCAAGCAACAGGTCAATTAGAGACATACAAAGTAGTACTTCACACATTTGTAAGACCACACCAATACACAGGGAGCACACACACGGCTTCAAGAGTTCACGGGACATGACGTAAGTTTGGCCAACAGCAATGATACAAAATCAGTACTTCAGATGCCACAAGAATTGTGGAAGCTTTAGCATTTTAGATATGGACCACATGATCTGATTTTATGAAACATTAGAGGTGTAAGACAGTTTAAAGTAGAAGTAAAAAGTCATCTAAACACAGAACAAAGAAACAACAATCAGACAGAAAAGTCTGTGATTTGCAAAGCAAAGTAGACTATTTGATCTAAAAGATGAACGCTATCAATGAAGGTTTTTCGAAAAACATTACAGAGATTGGCGCACATTTCTTTTATCTGAGATTTCAAAATGCACTCAGTAACAGAGCGTAGAGATCAGATTTTAAAAAAACAATAAAAATAAACCGGGGTGATCTCCCCTAAACTTTCTCGAATATTTTTATATAATTCGGAATATAGACATGATTTTAAATTACTTTAAAAAATAGAATAGAATCTCGCACAAAAAAGAATTGCGCACCAAGCGAACGCCAAAACAAAATGTGCATAATAGTTTCGCAATATTATTAGAACTTTATAAATTTACATGCGTTTTTTGAGAAATCGAAAATAGCGTAAATTAATACTTCCGGTCAACGGAAATTACTCAAAATTTGACAGAAGGCCGTGATTTAGATCTTTTACTTACATGTGAAATTTCATTTATCTATCTGAAATAGTACTCAAGTTATAGGCTTTTGAAAAATTGAAAGTAGAAAAATTACCACTTCTGTTTATCAGAAATCGCTCAAAAGTTGAACAGGATCTACGATTTTGATAAAATACTTATATATGAAATTTCATCAACCTAGCTGTAACGGTACTCAAGTTATCGTGTTTACACACAGACACACAGACATACGGACAAGATTGCAAAATTATGTTTTTCCGTATCAGTGAGGTGTAAAACGTCGAGAATTGTAAAAATCTCGATTTTTTTGTGCACGATTACAAGACTTTCTCTATACGAGAAAGTAAAAACTTTATAGCAACAAGCTTTTAAATGCACTGAAAATAAGAAAAAGAATTCGCTTTCTTCAATAACAACTATTGTGGCTAAAACATGTAAAATATCTAATGAGCGAAAAAAATATATTTGTTTATTTATATTTGTTTCTTTTTTCTACTTTTTAGTGATTCCTAATTTATGAAGTAGACACAAATAAAAATATTTACTTTAAAGCACCATCAGTATCTCGCGATATATGGTCGCTGACCACAATTTACTGACATTAGCGAGCTGATAAAGCGAAGAATAGTTCGTAAGCTTGTTACCTCCCTTTGTTTCAAATTGTTTAAAAGCTGTTTTATCTGTCGCTACCAGACTTCACACCTCGACCCGGCTCTAAGATCTATCTATATATATAATTCTCTTCTGGGAGACGCTAGAAAACAAGCTGTAAACGCGCTCCCTACCACCCCCACCCCTACATGGTCTGGTGAGCTGTGGTTCACTCTAAATGTTTACAAACAGATCCGGGTTTAGTGACGGCTATTAGGGGCAGATAATTTAGTTTGAAACGATTTTAAAATTAGGGGGGAGGGTAACTAAGAGGAGTTTACTTTAACGGAGGGGGGAGGGTATCGTCCTTAACGAGCTACTTATAGTGTTTTAAAGAAATATTTTCAGTGGCAGCGTTGGTACTGTCGAATTCACAAATTATGAATTACCGAAAAGTAGAAAAAAAAACAACTAAATAGCGGCGTATAATATGCCGCGGGTCGGCTCGTATATATATAATTCTCTTCTGGGAGACGCTAGAAAACAAGCTGTAAACGCGCTCCCTACCACCCCCACCCCTACATGGTCTGGAGAGCTGTGGTTCACTCTAAATGTTTACAAACAGATCCGGGTTTAGTGACGGCTATTAGGGGCAGATACTTTAGTTTGAAACGATTTTAAACGTAGGGGGGGGGGGGGGGGGGTAACTAATTGGAGTTTAAGGAAGGGCGGTTATCGTCCTTAACGAGCTACTTATAGTGTTTTAAAGAAATATTTTCAGTGGCAGCGTTGGTAGTGTCGAATTCACAAATTATGAATAACTGAAAAGTAGAAAAAACAACAACTAAATAGCGGCGTATGATATGCCGCGGGTCGGCTCGTAGTAAATATTCGGCGTGAACCACAGCTCAACAGACCGGTCGGGTGATACCGTCTAGCTAATTATCTCCCCTTCTGTTATGGATAATAATCTATCGAGTGATTTCTAGTATTTAATCTTGTTATATCCCCTTGGTTTCGAAAGCATTTAATTAATGTTAATGTATAATTTAATATATAATTAAATTCAAATATAGATATTCATTCATTGCCCTTGAAGACGAAGGTATCTGGAACATTTGACCGAAATCGCTGCGTTAGAGGTTGGTCTAAATTGAGCTACATGATTTTCTACTAACCTAGAAACCCTGGTCAACAACCCCCCCCCCCCCCCCCCCACCCGATTGAGATTTGTACAAGGACATACTAATGACTAAAAGACAAAACAAACATAAGAATAAATTAAATATTTTATAATTGAGAGATTGTGAGGAACCCTTTGCCAATACTCTAATATGCTGGACTCGTAA